GATCCTTCGACGGACGTTGGTAATTGAACTGGGATGTGGACAGTTAACAGAACAAACGTAAACCAGGTAATAAAATAGCTGGGTGATCGACAACGACTGAAATACAGATTTACTCAGATTTATCGATAGACATATGAAGAGAAAACACCGACGTGAGAGCAATGATTTCTGGTAAAGTCAATTTAATCGTAAAATTAGAAGAGGTTGCCTTTCAAACCTTCGGAAAGCTCAAGTTTAGCAGTTGGCGTATCATTTCAGTTAGTGGTACAGTACCTCAAGCAACACGACCGTCTTTGTTATCTGAGCGTACGAATACAGACACGTGCAGCTAATTAGCTAAGTGATCACAGTGAGACCGGAAATTATATTTGGGCTTTGCAAACATTGTGCACATCTGTTTGTTAAATATCACTCCTGCCTTCTTTGAAGACAAAGAAGTGAACGAGCTGGAAAATTAAAAGAAATTCATATTGAAGGACAGAAAATGCTGTCAGGATAAGGAGAAACCGAATGCAACCTAGACGGCTGTGATCCGACGGAATAACCAATTTACCAATACCCATTCAAATAAATTACCATCCGCCAATGAAATCAATTTTTAGTATTAGCTAGACATGATGAACTGGTGCTCAGTTGTTATTTTGTATTTTTTATTCACTCTCAGCAATATTACGCTGCTACCCAACAATTTTAAATCTTTCGTTTCATCGATTTTCGCAGATGTCTGACAAAACAAATACAAAGGGACAGAGGACTGAAGCGCATGATTATGAGTCAGGCGAAATGAGGTACGGTGAACACAACAACCGACTAGCCTGCATTACATAGCCCGAACATAAAACAATCTTTCCGATAGCTTTCACGTGACTGGGTATCTAACAAGAATACTGTTGTGGTTGGTGAGCGAATGAGAAAAAGAAGCAACCAGGCTGGTCCTAAACTAATTTAGTGTTCATCAGGACCCGGGGGGAGGGAATAAAAGCAAACGAGTAAAGGGCACTCAACGTTCAACCATACGAATTGTTACTATGCTTTGTGATTCCACGGGGCTTTGTGGGTCGCTGATAAAACACACAATCGTGTCCATGTCTTTGAGAGTGAAACATTGCCACAAAAGGTTCACTACAAAGTGCGTGCTTCAACCGTTAAGCTCTCTGGAAATTCCTCTTAGTGAGATCGAGGAAAAAAACAGAAAGACAGGGTATTTTGTCCGTCTATTCATTGGCGATCATAACAGTTTGGTTCAGCCCACTCGAAACAATTGATTGGTGTTTATTGGGAGCGGTTGGGGTTTGGAAAGGAACGAAAGACAGAGAAAACTTACTTGAATGAAGTTAGCCGTGAAATGATTGCAGTTGAAATGCAACAAATGGTAAGCATCGCCACGAAATTCATCGGTCAGACTNTGAACGATCTGGTACCGCGGTGAGACCGTTGTGAAAGACACTGAGAGGAAGGGTGCGCTCCAGGAGCGCGGACAGACTCGTATCGGGAAGGCATTGAATCAAGGTTGCCGTTTATTGCTCTTGCTAGTGGAAGCCAAAGATCCGTTGGCAAGAGGACAAGACGGAACAGTGTGAGACATAGAATGCGAAGCTGATCCGACATTAGATAAGTTTGAATTTGTGGAATGTGTTGAATCTTTGTCGAAAAATTCCGAACTTTCGGTTTCACAGGATTTCATCAAACCTTCGAAATCGGACTCGTACAGCAGTGCAGGCCTAACCCAGTGGGCCGGAAGCATAGATTCAATGAAGGGAACACCGGCAGCGAATTTGGCTAGCAAATTGATCCATTTGGGAAGTACGCCATTGCACAGGAGTTGAATGAAGTTAGCCGTGAAATGATTGCAGTTGAAATGCAACAAATGGTAAGCATCGCCACGAAATTCATCGGTCAGACTAATCAGTAAACGATCAACGCCATCTTTGGACAGGTAAGTACGACCCACATATAACGTTTCCTTATATGTAAATCCTTCACCCATTTCTTCGATATTTTTGGGCTCCATTTGGAAGATGCCACTGGTTGG